AGTTATTATTGATTATGTGTCACTTTTTTTGGCAAGACAGAATCTTTTAAATTTTTTTGAAATTTGAAATGGAAGAAATCCATTGAATTGTACAGTACACTATGAATACTTGGTTCCAAGTTCTGTACATACTCAAAACCTAATTAACAGAACAAAGAGGGTTGGAGGTATTTAGTGTTTTTGACCCGCAAAAAAATTAGATGGGTATCTCAATTTATCCATGAACAAAATCCTAGGATTTTTTTATAAAAAAATTCATTACAAAAAACCAGAAGAATAGCATGAAGAGCATGCAATAGCCATGAAAATTTCTAACATTTATTTAACCCAACTTCTCATTTCAAATATCCAAAACATTGATTAAAAAACTAAAAAGCCATAACTTCCTTAAATCAAATAACACCTAAAACTTATAAATCAATAAATTTACGAAACTCATGCATGAAGAGAGAGAGAGAGAGAGAGAGAGAGAGAGAGACGAAACACACCTTGTTGTATGAAAAAAAAGAAAGATCGCACCTATTTTGAGAGGTTGAGAGGGGCACGTGAATCTAATTGAGATACAAGGCTTATAAAAAATAACATGAGAGACTTCTATTTATAAGACTTCTAAAACTAGGATAAAGGTTTTAACCTATTTATAAGACTTCTAAACCTAATTAGGATATAAAATCTCTCTCCCTTAGCATGATGGTGATATTTTAGGTAAGGAAATAGTAAGTATAAATTTAAAGATATAGGTGAGATATAGATTGCTCTCTCTCATTAGGACATAAAATTTCTCTTAGCATGTGATTTATCTAAATAGAAGTCTAGGTGCCTACTCTCCTTCTATTTTAGAAGATATGTTATCTTCTCCCTCTTCCCTATTTAGAATATTTAGCTTTTTCTCTCTCTCTACTTACTCCCTCTAATATGCTATTTTAAGATATAGGTGAAGATATGCTATCCCTTAAAATTTATGATGCATAGAGATTATTGAAATCTTATATCTAATTTTTGGAATGAGCATAGTAATCTGTGTCTCTCTTATCATTTCGAACACATTTAACGCAGTAGACTTATCTAAATAGGAAGCTTAGATTTAATTAAATTTAAAGTTCTGTATATCTCTCTTGTCCTTCCCAACTCATAAAGCATGAGACTTATCTAAATAGAAGTCTAGGTACATATTCTCCCTCTATTTTATAGGATACACTATATTTTTTCTCTTCCCTATTTTAAAAGATAGAGCTCGTTCTCTCTCTCTCTCTCTTCCCTTAGGGTTAGAACCCTGTTTTAGAAGATATGCAAACCCCTAAAATTTATGAGTACTCTCTCTCTTCCCTTTCTTCCCCTAAAGTATACATACTCTATCTCACTCTTCCGGTGATCACCTCTGTTTGAAATGATTATGGGCTGCATAATACGCAACCCCTTGGTTTACGGTTGACGTGATTTTTTGTGGTGGTATGTCAAATGGCCAACGATTCCACTGACGGCATTGGGCACTGCTTCTCGTAGCTCCCATTCAAAAGTGACCAGGACATGATTGCTCGCCGTACCAATGTTGGCACTCCCATCGTCCAAACAATGATAATTACTTTCCGTCACAATCCAAGCATTATGAGATCTAACGATGGGCGGTAGTTTGAGGAAATGGGAACTCGATGTTGTTGGCCATGGTGTCAAACATTACTACCCCCATTATCTGCACAATCATGGTTACTTTACGTTGTTATTCAAGCATTCCCATGTCTGGCAATTGGCGGCAATTTAAGCTAATGGGAACTCGATGTTGCTGGTCCTGGTGTCGAACACTGCTACCCCAATCACCTAAGCAATCATGGTTACTTTATGTCGCAATTCAGGCATTTTTATGTCTGACGATTGGCGGTGAGTTTTGCAAATGTAAAACAATAAATGACGTTATAATTTTATATTTAACGCCGTCCAATATTTCTAACATTGGACTAACCTAAAGAGATATATGTACCCTAACTTTTAAGGCAGTCAAATGTTTGAAACATCAAATGGATCCCAACAGGGTATTTGGATTACAAAACAATCTTATTTTTTTAAAAAAAATACAAAAAATAAAACAAAAAACTGGTCCCATATTGGAAATATCGTATCAAAGGACAAATTAGAATATATAAAAAAAAAACACTTAGAAGACAAGCTTGCACATAAAATTTGGCAAAATTTGGATCTTCTCATAATTTCTAATCTTTTTTCATGTGGGGTTGTACTTTTTCCTTCTATTTCTACAGGCTTCTCTCTCTCTCTCTCTCAATACATTATCGTTATTGACTTTGATGATGTCAAGGGGGATGTAGTGTAATTTGCACTGTGTTCCCCAAAACACATGCACATGGAGCACTACATAAGTGCAGTTAGTACTCAGTCTTGGGTACTGTGCACTGTGCACAACAACAAATTACTCAATGTGTACTATTCATGTTCAGAGAGTAGGTGCGTTGCCTGTACTTATGATAAGCATTGTGCACCCGCGTACCTGAGTGCTGGCATATTCCACCTGATACACTCATGAAAATGAAGACTATATGTTGACTTTATTGATAAAATACCATCATCTTCCATCTCCCATATAATCTCGTCGTTAGCATTAGGATATATATAAACATCTTCCAACAACTCCAACGACTGATCTACTGCCACATGCAGAATTCGATTATAGATGCAATTAATATTCCGTACTAAAGATGAACCATTATGATGTCCATATGATAAGATACCATTTGAAATAAATATGGAAAAAGGAAATTGAAAATAATATTTGAAGCCCAGCTAGAATGCCCAAAAAGAGTTAAGTTTCGGTTGCCAACTGAACATCTGGTGTGGCACACCACAAAAGTTATCATAAATGATATAGATTTCCATAGGATGGAAGTCTGAGTGCGACTGTTACTCCTAGAAATAAAAATGATTAATAGGGTTCACTCCATATTTAGCAATTAGTACATCTTTCGATAATTGATTTCCACCTTGCATAGACCGCCATCAGCATTTCGAAATCCGAGCCTGATTAGCATATTTTAACTTATGTATATCCAAACCTCCTTCTATTTTTGGTGTACAAATTTTGTCTCAGTTCACCATATGATATGTTTTCAACTCTTGATCTGAACCCTATAAAAAATTCCGCATGAGCTTTTTTAATAGCTTGATAATGGAAGCTGGCATAATAAATAAATACATTTGCTTGATTGGAAGGCTAGCAAAAGAGTATTTAGTCAAAGTGACTCTACCCCCTAAAGAAAGATGTTGTTAGGAGGTGCAAGTTGAATCTTGGTCATCTGCAAATACTTATGCCACTAAGTAGAGATCAATATGGAAATTTTGGCATGTTCCTTACTATTTGACCTCACAGGTAAGCTCTGCACTTGGGTGGTATTGTCTAATAAGTATGGTCATTGTGGTATTGAATAGTGGCATGCCAAGCTAGCAACACCACCCATTCATGCACAACTGCAAAAGAACTTTATTCCTGCTGCATCCAAACGGGGGCTTACAACAATTTGAACTAAGTGGCACATCCTTGGAGTTAGAAGGAGTAGCATAATCCAACAAGTGACATTACCCATTGAAGTAAGATAATAGTTGATAAAACTGAGGCAATATTGGTTATTTATAGAGGGATGCATTCTTCTAATACTAGAAGCTTTACCATTTCAAAATGCAAAACCTTTATCACCATAGAATGAAAAGAACCAAATGTGTAAGATCCATATATGCACTGAAAAATGATGGGCAGACTTTATTAGAACCCCTAACTCTAAAAAGAAATCCATGACGAAAATACTTGGCAATAAAATAATGTTCAGAACTTTGACAGAGTGTGCAATTCAACATTTTTGGAGAATGGGAGTACTTTGATACTCCAAGAAGCTGGTTGAAGATTAGGTCAATAAGATGCAAGGGCATTTTAGTCATCTTGTATTAGGAATTTTTTTTTAAAAAAGTTTTTAACAAGTGAATACAACGTACATATCCGAATCCCAGCCCACGCTCATGTGGTTGACAGAGAGAGAAATGTAAGAAACATCCTAACACTATAAAAATGCCATAAATACCCACTCAGCTCTTTTGCTATTGGGTTCTCCAATCTCTCTTGTGAGTGACTAAAATACCCTTATTTATTGAGAATGTCCCTCCTAAACTAGCATGCACCCCATTTTTACCCAAAAAAAATGCATCCCATTAAAAACCAAAAGCAGCAATGAAAAACCATCAAATGGGATGGAACTCTTTATAATCCCAAATCAATGGTATGATATGTCAGTATTTAAGATATGGAATGACAGCTGTCAGGGCGAGTCGTTTGGCCGATTCTAGACAAGTCGGCCGTGAACAGTGGAAAAAAGAAACACAAAAAACAACTCGTCATTAACTTGGGAATCACATGAATCCTGCATGAGTTTTGTTTTACCTAGGGCAATTCCACCAATTTAGGGCTACTTGAGAACATGAACTCCCAAATTTCAGATAGCTCAGGCGATTCCAAATCAGCTCATTGATTTTTTAATCACTACTTATAACGGTCATATCGGAGACTCTATTTTCTCTTAATTCTCTATATTAAATCCTATATTAAATCCCTAGCGTCATTCATCAAACAAGAAATCAACATGAGATCAAACTTCCACCAAGATAAAATTAGATTGAAAGGGTACAATTGCTCATTTTGGGTCACTCTTTCACACACCCCAATTCTCTTTACCAAACTAGGTTTAGCAATCAACATGAGATGCATCAGTCCACAACAATTGTTCGAAAGAGATTAAGGGGTATAAAGGTCTTTCTAACTGTAGGATTGTAGGGTAGTTACTGTGGTTTTTGGAGGGTTTGATTTTAAGGGACTTTTCTGTCATTTGGGGGCAATGAATAATTGGGGCATGAGATGTACATATCCCTTGCAACCGGTCACAATTAACATGCTGGATTCCCCCTCCTTCTGACACACACTGTCTCTCTTTCTCTCTCTTCTTTCTCTCTCTCTCTCTACATCTGAGACGTAGCGTCGAAACCCCAACGAAAGGAAGGTAAAAAAATCCGAATGTAAAATTCCCCTTTTTCTCTCTTTCTCTCTCTAGAATGTTTTTTAATTTTTATCTCTCTCTTCTCTTCTTCTTCTAGTTAGATCGGTGTGGTTCTTTGGGGACAGTTATTTGGTTTTGCACCCCATACCCTGGCGGCGTTCTCCATTCTTGCTTTGCTCGAACACAAATTGGAAAAAGAGAAAAAGGGGTTAAAAATAAGGGGAAAGAACATGTTTACGTCGTCTTTGATTGCAGAGAACCATGAAAAGTCAGCTTTTTGATGGCAATTGATTGAAATCAGGACCTGGGTTTTTTGACGGTTCGAGGTCAGGAGTCTTGTAAACCCTGGTTTTACTTGGTTTCTTCTCGTTTTTGGTGTGTGTGGGTTCTTTTTCATGGTTGCTGGTGCTTGGTCTTCGAGATTCATGGTCGATCCTTGCAATCAGTGGCTTGTTCTTGGGTGAATTTTTGCGGGTTCTTGGGGGTTTGGGATTTGTGTTATTTGTTTAATTGGATTTTGTGATGACTGGTTTGGATTGTGAGTGATGATTCTTGGTGAGAAGGAGTGGGTGTTATCTCAGGGGATTGTGTTAATTCATGGCATATTTCTGGTAAAAATTAACGGGCTTCTGGCTGTTCTAGATTTTAGGTTTTGTTGGGATAATTCATTTGGGGTTCACTGCTGATTGGAGATGAAGAATGGGTTTTGATTTTAGAGAGAGAGAGAGAAAGCATTCTTATTAACTGGGTTCCTGATTTTCAGTGTGATTTAAACGGCTTTTCTCAGTTTTTTGTGTTATTAAGGAAATTGAGTATCATTGCTAGCAACTAATTGCCGGTGCACAATTTTCTGGAAATTATCCAGATATTAATATATCTGGAAATGTTTTGTGATTATTGGATTTCTAAGTGATGATCAGTTGTGGAAATGGGGATTGTTTTATTGGGAGAAATTGTAGCTTGCGTTAGGGTTTCTCTTTGATGTTGTCGGTAGGGAGAAGGGATGGGGCTGGAGGCATTGGGAAGCAGAGGAAGGGGCTAGGGTTAGGGTTTGGAAATATGGAGGAGACCGAGCTCGAAGAAGGTGAGGCGTACGATTACAGTGATGATCGTGCTGGCTATGATCCTGATGTGGCCTTCTCTTACATTGTAAGCACCCTTTTTCTCATCTCTACCTTTTCCTTCTTGAGATGGTTAAAGGTTTTGTTTTTATTCCTGTGTTTTTATGTACTTTATCTCTCGAGTTCTAGAATTGTTGCTTTCTTTAGTTCTGTTCGGTACCTCATAGTCGGTCTTTTGTTTGAGTTGAATTTAAGGTAATATGTCAAGGGATAAAGACTCATTGCCTTTGTATTAAATCTTTGGTTGTGTTGCAAAATACGGTATCCTACAAAATGTGTCTTTTCAATTCTATTTATTATCATGATCTCTGGTGGTTGATATCAACCAGTGTGAGGACGTTTGTGCATAAATTTGTTGGATTGTGTTACATGATGTGTATGTTTATCGTAAACACTGCTATTGTCATAATTCTTATACGTTTTATACTGGCATGGAGTTTGTAGCCTTTAATTATTGTTCATGGATTGGAGAACTGGTATTTCTAAGAACGATGTTCTGTTCCGGTCTGTGCCTGAGTCATTTGGATTCAGCATATAGGAAATGTTGTAGAGCCAGCGCTTCAGGTGTACAAGAGGCATGCCGCCAACTGCTCATCATCAGCGATTCAATGCTAGAATGCCATGCACATCAAGTTATGATTTTATTTTCAAAAAATTGAAATATGATGAATATTGATGTGGTCCAGGTCTTGATCGATGCCCTATTGTAGAGCTATGGGCTAGTCGTATGTTACAATTGTGTGTATACATGCTTTCCATAATGTTGCCACTTCCGATAGTGCAGTAAATATCCTTTAATGAGTTGAGTAAATTGTGGTTGATGTCACCAGTTTTTCTGTCTTCATTCGTCATATCTTTCTTTTCATTTTGTGTGTGAAGTAGCATATAGAGAAATCATGTGCGTTGGCTTGTGCCACATTTCATTGTATGGTCAGATGATTGAGCAAGAACTTCGGTTTTCTTTGACACAGGATGAAAAACTTCAAGATGTATTAGGTCATTATCAGAAGGACTTCGAAGGCGAGGTTTCTGCAGAGAATTTGGGTAAGCATGGAAAGTTCAGAACTGTTAAATTTTAGTTTTACTGGTGAACTTATAGACTATTGGGAGAAGCATGGTGTTGATACAGAAGACACTTCACATTCTCATACGTTGTATGTTCAAAAAATTAATAGTTCCAAATGCCAAACTCCTTGGATAGAGTTCGAGTTGGTTTCTCAACAACACTTTCACCATGGTGCTAATTGCTTCTTATTCTTTGTGTTTGTATTCAGGATTTTCAATGTGTTTTTCAGCAATTTTATTGGCCAATCCTTTTGCTGAAATGTCTAACTCAAAAGTAGTTGGTCAGATTTAGATTGGTTTGTGGTGCTTGTCATTTATATATGGTCAAAGGAAGCCATATTCTTTTCTAATCTAGTACCAAGCAGAGGTCTGATTATTTTATTTTCTATTAAAAATAGCTGTTATATCCTTTTACTGTCACAAACTGCGTGATAGGAGAAAGAAACAAGTATAACCATAGGGGACATGAATGTGCTTTTGATGATTGATGTGCTTTCTTGGATTCAATATTTTGAATTCTCATGCTGTTTATAACATTCTGCACAACGGAGGAAGATGGTGGGACATGTGACTTACCACTGACATATTGTAAGGTTCTCTAAAAATGAATCTCTTTCATGATGAGAAACCTTTTAACTGAACAACTCATCGAGGTATGATGAGATTTGTGTCATCATCAATTACAATATTTAAATACATCTAATTGTCGATGTCAAGATATGAAACAAGAAACTCGAGTTTGGGTTAAGAAAACTGATTTTTTGCATAGCAAGAACCAATTATGGTGGCTTGTACTAAAAGTTGGGACTGTAATCATTGATTTTGAGCTGAATTTTGATGACTAAGCCCCTGATAAATCAACGTTATAATTTGAGCCACCTGCAACATGCTCTATAGTCAGTGCTTTCTTAATAAATGGTCCAGAAATTCCTGCTTCCGTAAAGTTCATTTAGACTGGAGAGACACCATATTCTACCCAGGCTCAAAGTGGGCGGCTTGCTTTTATAAAAAGGGCTTGCAAAGTGTAGAGCTGATCTCCAAACAAACCAAAAACGAATAGGATGCTGCTTATTATTCCTAAGCTCTAACTTTACCTTAATGTAATAAGATGCCTTAGCGTGGTCACCCTGGTGAGCTGCAAAATTTATTGAGATTCTGGATATTAGAAACCTTTTGAAGATTTCCTTTCAGCATGTGCTACGGAAAGCCAGTGAAGTGGCTGATGTTTTGTTTTGCAATGGGATTTCCAGAATTACTTGGGGCCTTGTATTGTACTACCCCTGCTGTTATCAGTCTTGTGGTTTTACTCTCTCAACAATAAAAGTTACTTATAAAAGAATCAAATTGCATGATATTACTAAGAGAGACCTGAAGGTATGCCAAATCAATCTCCTTGTAAATGTATCTTAACCTCCAATGATTCATATATGTCAATAGAGACTGGAGTGCTTGGTATGAACATTGCTTTGCACTTTAAAAGCCTCATTGTTTTCGCTGGTTGTTCACTTTTTAGTGCCGATGGGCACTTCGGGCAAGAGAATCAAAACTTTCAGGACTGGCTGTCTGATGAAGTGAATATCCTCAAAAGATCAATTGCTGAAGTAAATTGAATAATTGATGAACAGAGGAATTGTTTTAGTGATTGCATGTGAAATGCATTGATATATTGATCATGTATATGTGCTCTCACTCCACATTCAGTCAGCCTGCTGCTTTCAAGCAAGATGTGAAGGTCAGTTGTGGGCCTAAGCTTTAAGATGTGCAGCTTGGTAGAGCATTTGCCAAACCAGGTTCATTTCAATAGCGATATGCTCCGGCTTGGGAGGAGAAATAATTTAGCTTATTTTAAGTTAGCTTCCCAACAAACAGCGCAATCGCTATGCTTGCTCAGCATTGAGGCTAGAGCGAATGGAAGTAAGGAACCTGATCAACTGAGTGCTTCTGTAAACATGGTGGTGGATGACGGAAAGAGATGTTGAAAGTTGACTTATGGTGATTGATTCAGTTACTTACTGCAATACGGTTGATTAGAACCATCCATTCTTGGTTTTCTCATCTTTCTTTCATTTTCTTATTTTTTGTGTGTCCTTCTACATGTACATGTGAAATTCAGACAAATCACGATCATGGCATATTTTGAGACAACGCAACATGGTTATCGACCTGCCCCAAGTTAGTTTGCCTTTGCCTCTTGCATGAGTGGTGTAATTTAAACTTGTTCATGGACTTATGACTTGATTGACGCGAGTTGAATTGCTGTTTTAAAGCACTTTCTCGTTCTTTTAAATTGAATCTTACAAGAAGTTTTTGAACATTGTGAACAGCTTATTTATAGAATTGCCGACTAATCATGATGTTTTTGGGATCCTTTTTGTATGGAGTTTTTTTTTTGGGGGGTGGATCATGCTGTGTGCAGACTTTTAGCCTACACTTTGAATTCTCTCTTTGTTTATTCTATGATGTTGTTTCTAAAATCTTTGTGATTCGAATGTGGTGGTGCTTGCTTCCTTGACTCATGCCAGTCTTCATTATGTATCAGGTGCCAAATTTGGGGGCTATGGCTCATTTCTACCCACTTATCAGAGATCTCCTTCCATTTGGTCACATCCCAAGTCTCCAGTGCGGGGCCAGAACGTTAGCACCACGATATCTCCTAATGGCCAGCCAGTGGAGGTACTAACTATGGGAAAGTATACGATAATCTAACGATGAAATAATTTTATACCATATTCCAGCATAGGATGGGGTTCAGTGTACCAATATATCAAAGGCGCTCTGCTGTCAATGCTTGATCATGGTTGTTGGAGATTGTCTATATCCGGTGCCAAATTTTGGCACATGCACCTTTGGAGTACCACATGCCATACTCCTTTGGGTTATGTTATATTTGCATTGATAATTTAAATTCATTTAACCTGCTTAAATTGTGTGCTTAAGGACGCAACCTGGCTAATGTAAGCCTTGGTCCTTCCTGGCTTAGTAGTAGCTGATTTTCCTTTTCCTTTTATTGTTCATGAATTAATGCACCCAAACTAGCCAAGAAAAAATGAAAAGGAAGTGATATATTGGCAGAGAAAATAGAGAAGAAACTTGCATCTAATGTTTCAGGATGAGGAGGAAAAAATACATGGTACCTTCAATTTTAATGTTTTTTTGTATTGAAGATAGTTCTCGTCATATTTGCAGTGTACACGTCAGAACCCATCAGTTCCCATGCATGCTGTCATCCCATCTAAGGTTGCTCCTGCACCTAGTAATGCGCGGCCTGGGGCAACGTTTTTGTTTGACGACAACTCTACTCGAAGAGGAACCTGCATATCTAGCCAAGTCGATGTCAGGCCCTCTCCCAAGTATGAGGCCTCGACCAAGAATGTTAATGGGACTGAGAATACATTGAAAGTGCGCATTAGAGTGGGTCCTGATAGCAAGAATGCTGCACTCTATAGTGGCCTAGGCCTTGACAATTCTCCATCTTCTTCACTTGATGACAGCCTTGATGACAGTGATGAAGGTTTATCACCTGAAACTCGAGACGTTCCTGATGAATCCCCTTCAACCATTCTACAGGTACTTCCTCAGCTGTGTCATTGTTGGCTTGTAACCATAGGGTCCCAATCACCAATTTTTTTCTGGAACTCTTAACTTGTCAATCAGCTCCCTTGATTTGAGTTGTTGTTGTACTTGTGGTATTTTGCAAGGCAAAGTGTATTTTAATCCAGTGGAGTGCGTTGGGGCATCACTGTCCTTTGAAACACTGGACTGTGGTGGACGGAGAGGGGCACTTAGTAGGGGGATCATGTCCTGTTCTTGTGTTTCTCACTTTGTGTCACTATCCATCATTTCAATGATGATGGCCCAATTGTATATGGATTTCATGTAACTCTAGTATACTTTCTTTATATGGAAATTTTAAGGAATTAGTTTTGATTTGCTTGCCACAAAGTTGCAACAAGATCCAATGGAGATTTGTCAAGTTTACTTCTTGATGTTCAGTTTATTTTATTTTATTTTTTGACTCTTCTTTTCTCCTGAATGATTACATCCCAAAGTATTACCTGAATGATTATGATTGTAACTATTTGAAATATGTTGAAACAGATTATGACTTCCTTTCAAGTTCCTGGGGGGATTTTGCTTTCTCCTCTTCCACACTTCTTATTGCGCTTGACGAAAAAGGATAAGCCATTCCGGAAAGAGAGTAAATCTGGTTCTGCCCAAAAAGGTAGTCAGGAATGTGGGACCATGCCAATAAGTGACTCTTCTTGTGTGCAAGACTTGAAAGGGCCCAGAGAAAAGAAGACAAAGACTGGTGAAAAGCATGGAAGGCTTGGTGAAGCGAAGAATAAGAATGATAGAGGCATAGGAAATGACATGAGCAGCCTTTTAAAGAAAGAAATAGACATTGAAACCCCGGCAGGAAGGGAACTTGTTTCAGATGCGTTAAACATACCAGTACTCTCCTCTTTGAAAGGGTCTCAGGAGAAGCTGGGCAGCGTCTTCTCCTCTGGTACAATAAATGAAGAAACCCATGAAGCAGAGGGAATCCAAGATAGTAAGAAGGTCAGCAAGGGAAGTAATGAATCAGTAAATGGAAAAGGAAAGCTGAATGTGAAGGCTGGGTTGGCTGAGAAATCGTTGGATGAGAAAAACCCTAATATTTATAAAGAATCTGATTTAAGGAAGGACTTGAAGTTTGATACACTGAAAGACCCACCTGATGGAAACAAAGGGAGGAAAGAGAAAGATCAGAATACCGTGATTGTGGAGCCCCCCAGGTCAAAATTCTCTCACAAAGCTATGCCACCAGAGAGGGACAGTTCGAAGCTGCGACAGGGGAAGGATCAACTGTCTGGGGGTAAGAAGAAGTCAAAAGAAAGCCAGATGAACCTCTTGTATGGAGGGGAATTACCTAAGGAGAAGTCCAAGGATGTTCCTCCAGGAACCGTTAAAGATAAGAAGAAGAACATGCATGCGAAGGATTTTTCATCGGAGATCCATTATGATATGATTAAGTCTCAGAAGGAATCTAATAAAGTTTTTGAACGAGATTTGAAGAATGACCTGGCTGAGAGTAGAACGGATACAACAGAAATTCATTTCAAGGAAAAGCCAAAGGAGCCAAAGCTTGAGCATCTTGAGAAAGAACCAGAAATGGCTAATGAGAGGTTGGATTATAGAAATATTGAGAACCCATCTTCAGTGTTAGGTCAAGAACCTGTTGCCGCTCCACCATTGGCTGGAGCTGGCTTGGCTTCTGATGGGCCACTTCCTGTGCCGGCAGGTCCTGTGGTCATAGAAGAGGATTGGGTTTGTTGCGACAAGTGCGAGACATGGCGTATCCTACCATTTGGAATGAATCCCCAACTTCTCCCCAAGAAGTGGCTCTGCAGCATGCAGACTTGGCTGTAAGTTCTCTATGGATGCTTCGATATTGGTAATTCCATTCCTTAAGAAAATCACATAGGTTGTTCCAATTGTAAGTTGGTCTGTGAAATGTAGAAAACTAATTATGTTGGCCTAAAGCGTATTCATGGTCATGATACATTTGTTTTGGATAGTTTTTTTTATCTTCTTTGTCCTTTATGGCTAGGTTGGGTGTAATATCTAAGCATGCATTCTTGTGTGTGTGCGTGTGTGCATGTGTGGTGTGTGCACCATGTGTGAATGGTGTGTGTATGTATACCAGTGCATGACCATGTGTTTAGGATTGTAAACGCTGATTTTGTGCCCAATTGTTTGTTTGTTTGGTGGTAAGCACTTCTTATATGTTTGTTATGCAGCAGGCCTGGATTGAACAAGTGCAGTGTAAGTGAAGAGGAGACAAGTAAAGCTCTCAGAGCTATGTATCAAGTCCCAGAAGATCAAAGTAATTTGCATAATCAGCATGATAGAGTTGGCTCAGGCGTAACCTTGGCAGATACAAAGCCTATTGGCCAAGGACTTGAACCAACTTCACTTAAATCAGGTGCCATGCCAGGCGGTGGAAAGAAAGGGATTATGCCAAAGGATGCAGCAAATGCTCCTGGCCTTGGGGTCCTGAACTATATTCCTAATTCTGTGAGAAAGAACCAGCAGACCTCTAAGAGCAAGGTTTTGAATGATGCAACTCAATTCCCATCTGAGCCAAGTCAGTTGAACAAAGTCAGTGTGAAGGGAACTGAACTCATCGGAGAGAAACCGAAGCATAAACTGAAAGAGAAACATAAACTGCTAGAACGCTCTTCAGATGGAGGTATAGTTCTTCTATTGGCAATTTCTTTGTGAGGAAAGTATTCTAGTCCAGATGATGCTGAGAACCACGTTCCATTTGGGTCATCATCTTTCAATGAAATAATGGGGAGAGAGGGAGGGGAAAGTATACTATTCCATATGACAATGAAAACCATATTCAATTTGGATAGTCACCTTTTAATGAGGGAGAGGGAGGGAGTGAACAGTATACTAAGCCAGATGACGATGAAAACCACATTCCGTTTGAATCATCTTTTAACAATGGAGGGAGGGAGGGAGGAAGGAGGGGAGGGACATGACCCCTGGGCTGTTCCAACTCTCCGAGTCTCCTTCCTTGTTGATCATTTATTGGTTGGTGATGACCCTTATGGACTATGGATCTCATTGCGCATTGGAGATTATATGAAATTTTTTGAAAATACCATTATTTACCGGCATTGGTTGCCTTTGTTTATATTGATATTCAGAGATGATTGTTTCTTTCTTTAAATATTGCAGGTGGATATGCTGAACATGGGAAGCATTCAAAATCCAAGCACAAGAGGGAGCCAGAGAAAGATGGTTCTAGAACTTCTAAGAAAAGCAAGATAGAAGGCTCTTTGTATGGAAATGGTGATTGTAGCTTTGACCAAGCTGCTCCCTTCTCCGGTAACGGCTTGCCAACTAAATTAGATAGCAAAAGTGTGCAGAGATATAATGATTGTGCTTCTTCAAAGGACTCAAAATGTGATACTTCGCTACCCATGGGAAGTAAGCTTAAAGAACATGGTCAGTCTCCCCTGGATGGAGATTATAAAGCAAATGTGAAGGCCAATGACATCGGTAAGATTGATAAGAAGGATATTCATTCAAAGAAAAGGAAAATGAAGGAATGGCATGGGTGTCCAGAATTTTCTGAGGACCAACAGGTTAGAGTGGATTTTCCAGATACTCGAGTTTCTATGAAATTAGAAACCAGTGAAACTGAAAGGAGAAAGGAGAAAAAGACCAAGATATCAAAATCTGATGGAAAGGAGTCCAGTTCGAGCAAGGCGGAAGGGAGATGTGATAAAAAAGGCAGAACAAAGATATTATTCTCTTCTAGTAGAGATCCTTTATTCGATGGAATGGATGGTGAAAATGGAAGTGTTAGTGAAAAGGACCATCAACTTGGGCATTCTAGAGGGAGTTCCATGTTGCAAAGGGCCTCAGATGGTATTGATTCATCGAAAAGGGATTTGGGTCTTGTTCAGCCACCTTTCCAGGCTGCTACTTCGAGCTCATCAAAGGTCTCGGGCTCACGTAAGACTAAAGGGAACTTACAAGAAGCGAAGGGATCTCCTGTAGAGTCAGTCTCTTCGTCGCCAATGAGAGTCTCCAAGGCAGAAATGTTTGTGACTGCTAAAAGGAATATTCTTTCTGTTACTGGTAGTCCGAAAGGTGATTCTTCTGCTCTTCATTCTATCAGTGGGGCATACGATAACCATGACAGGAACTGTTTGCAGATTTCAGGTGGCAAATCTAAAATTGGTTTGCCCTCAAAATCACTTGATGGTTCAAATATCGATCTCGTTTTATCCGATGCGGGGAATACCCATGAGCTGAATGATGCTGATCCCAGTGAACATGGAAAGGATCGTGACCAAGTGAAAAAGAGCAATTATTATCATTTGAATAATAGTTCTTATATATTGAAAGCAGGGAAAGTGAATGTATCACGGTCCAAAGAGAGAGAAAATGGTGATAGAATCAACTCTGACAAAGGCAAGGTTAAGGTCTCTGATTCTTTCAGTGATGACCAAGATGACTTGTATCTAACAAAGAGCAGCGGTAGCTATCTATGTGAGGGAGACTTTGAAGCTCAAGCTCGAGATAGTTCACCTTGTCCTGATGAATTGAGGGATGACAAGTATGAATTTCTGGAGAATTCTAGGTCAAAGTCTGATAGGAATGAGAAGAACCATCTTGCTAAGAAAGCTCATGCCACTAAGCGCGTTGGTGAAAGTAGGCGAGAGAATCATTCCAAATGTGTACTGCATGAAAACTCCAGTGACCAAGGCTCGCGCTACAAGGATGGGAAAACTAGTTGGCAACGAAATCAACAGAGGGTGACTCCCCAAGAGGAGGAAAAGCCATCAAGTCAAACTGATCGAGCAGAGGTGGCATCTTCAAGAGGAAAATCCCAGGTATGTTTGCCTTCAGGAGATAAACAAGAACTTAGGGATCATTTCTCAAGGGAATCGCCTATGCTCCAAAAGGGGTTTCGGGCTGAAGTAATGGCTATAGAGGTATCCAATGTTGATGGGTCTAAGGGTCCCAAGCAACAAAGGAAGTCCGATAATCTCAACAGTACCCATCCAACTGGTTTGAGACACCCAACACCTAATGGACTTGTGAGCAAAGATCTTGATGCCCCAAGTCCATTTCGGAAGGATCATGGTCAAACCGCTGCCAATGCAATAAAAGAAGCTACGGATCTGAAACACACTGCTGATCGCTTAAAGGTTGATAATGTACCACTTGTATCTCCTGCAAAATCTTTTGCTATCTTAGTCGCTATCATATGATTTCATGAAAATTGAGAAATTTGAAGAGAGAGAGAGAGAGAGAGTTAACATAAATAAAAGTAATATTCTGCATTACGGTGAGAGTATCCATATGTCAACAAATACTTGTTGGCTCTTCTTTTGCATTAATGCTTGTGGCTTCTGTTATCTTTGTAGAATGGTGGACAAGAACTTGAAAGCACTGGCCTCTACTTCCGTGCAGCCTTAAAGTTTCTTCATGGAGCTTCCTTGTTAGAGCCGTGCAATGTAGAAGGTGCAAAACACGGGGACACAACTCAGTCAATGCAAGTGTATAGTGACACAGCAAGACTCTGCGAGTAAGTTTATTAGAATATGTGTGTTTGCTAGGAATCAATCATAGAGAGACTTAGAATTTTTTTTTTAATTAGTGACTGAAGGTTGGTCTGTTGAAACATCAACCTATTGATATCTAAGTTACTGGTAGTCTTATTTTTATTAACTAGACTATTGTATACTTGGGAAATTTATCAGTACAGCCATGAGAGATGAACTATTTGACATTCAACTCTTCCAATTCAAGATCATGTGTTTTTTAATGGGTATTTTGAAATTAAAATCAAAAGATATGGGTGAGGTGTTAAGTGTTCATCTCTCATGGTAATTTGATAAAACTTCCCATAACTTTTTTATGAGACCATGTGTTCTAGTGGGTAGTGTACTGTTTGCTATATTCCAGTAACACTGCCTTCTCTAGAGCTCTTTGAGACTGAAACAATGTTTCCTTAAATGTGTAGGTTTTGTGCTGTCTCATATGAAAGAAACAGGGAGATGGCTGCTGCTGCTTTGGCATATAAATGTGTGGAAGTGGCATATATGAGGGTTATATTTTCAAAACATCCATGTGCTAGAAATGATCGAATTGAACTGCAAACAGCTCTACAGATGGTTCCTCCTGGTAATTGGAACAAGTCTGGTTATATTTCTTATCTGTTGACAAATTTTTAATCAGTTCTGTAAACACCTAGAACTATATGTTCTATTACTAGAGTAATTATAGCTATTTTCTTTTTGGTTTAAGATACAGATGCCACAGATATACATACTGCATGCGCACATTAGGACTGATTTTCTTGGATTAATTTGATGTGATATTTATTTTGTAAGATCCCAATGAGTGTCTGTTGGACAAGCTTCTGAACATAACATGTCATACTAATAATACTGTCATGCTTTGTTTTTAAATGGTTTAGTTATAACCTTGATTTTTCCTCAGTACTCGTGTGCCCTTACATATCATGGATACATGATGAAGCCCATATTGTAATGTTGTTAATGGACATGTTTCCTCAGATTTGAGTAATTGGATTTTCATGCTGATTCTCAGGTGAGTCGCCTTCATCATCTGCTTCAGATGTCGATAATGTAAACAACCACCACGCGACTGGTGACAAAATTTCTTCTGCAACCAAGGGAGCTGTATCACCGCTAACTGCAGGCAACCATGTGATCGCTGCTCGTAATCGCCCGAGCTTTCTTCGGATGCTCAACTTTGTGAGTCAGCTTCTCTTGAGATTATGTTTCTAACAGGGCAGGTTTCATGTCGTTCCTATTCCTCCTTTACTTTAAAAGGGAAGAGGAAACCAAAGCCATCCTCTGTGTTCTCATTTCTCAGACATGACAACCATTGCTTCAATTCAGGGCTAGAAAATCACAATGTCATGAAGATTATGACCATAATCTCCCTGTTATCTAATATCTTGCACATATTTCAGGCCCAAGATATGAACTCAGCCATGGAGGCCTTGAGGAATTTACAGAGGGCTTTCTTGGCTGCCAATGGAAGTGTTGAAGAGTCAACTTACGGGGAAGAAGGCATTTCTTCAGTAAGAAGAGTCCTTGAATTCCATTTCCATGATGTAGAGGGTCTTCTACGTCTTGTACGGCTTGCAATGGAGGCAATCAGTCGTTGAAACATGTGGCTTCACCTTCATCCCTGTGAATATGCTACCGTCTTTCTCTTGGCTTATTTCCTTGGGTTAAGATGCACATATGAACATTAATGAATACTTGGTTTTGGCCCTTCTTTCCTCTCAACATTGGACCTAGACACCTAGTAACTAACTGTACAATATGTACGATGGATTTACAATTTGTACATAGTACACACTCATGAGAGCATATGCTATGCCTTTCAAAGTCTAAGAAGAGATCATTGGTGTGGCAGCAGCCGGGAATATGTATTGATGCATGTATAATTGATGAGTTTTGAGAAAGTCGGGTGTGGAAATTAACGGTTTGTATTTGAGGTTTTGCTGTTTGGCTGTTCAACTGAGGGCTAAAGAAGACATGGACTAGAGAGAAACGAGAAAACCTGCTTGTACAATGGGGTCGGAAGCAAAGAAAACCACCCGTCTAGTTTATGATTAGAGCCATATCTCTGCTATGTAAGATCTTTTTTTTAACAGAAAATCACTGAAAAAAAAGATGCAGGAAGTTGTAAGGGTTTGGGAAGCATGATTTGTAAAGTACTTATTATCTTGTTATGCTTGGCTTGATGCGTGTGCTGAATCTTTGTGTTCAGTTGCACTGCATTTCTCCAATGGCAGAAGAGGGCAAAAGATGCATGTGAGTATATACTGTATTGTGATGTATATTCATCTTAAAGGCGAATTTCCTGTGAGTTTGTTACTTATTTGGTTCCTTTTTTTTGTGTAGGTTGTTATATTGCACCTTCCTGTTAGTAGAGTTGAGATTTGAAGCTTCTTGTTATCCAGAAGCGAAGGGATTGTTGGATGTCATGATAGCGAAGAATATTCGTTTTGTAGCTGAAATTTGTTTGGGAGAAGGCCTTGGAAGTATCTCAATACCTATCCTTTCACAGAAGGTTTGCTGACCTTTTTATCTATCAAAAGCACATTGGATGTTTTCCAACTTTATGCCTCTTTTGACTACTTCATTTCTCCTTTTTCCCATTTCCCTTAATCTTTAATGCAAGTGCCTGCTTGTTTAGTAGTACATCATTATATATTTTTTTGATGCTGTTAACTAGTAATATATCCTTATATTACACCAAAAAATAAGAGAACGAGGGGTTAACCCCATATGTACAGACTACACAGTGTAAAAAGACAAGAAATGCCTTTGAAAGGATTACATACCCCTTCGAGGACCTTTTTGAGTTGTAATTATCTTTTGTAATATCTTTTTGTAATGATGCATGTATAACATTTTTTGGGCCCCTTGGGGGTTTTATATACGAACATTGGTCATGTGGGGGCTTCAATTTTTTGTACTTTCTTTTAACCCTTTACAGCAATACAACAGTTAACATTTTAAAAAAAAAGAGAAAAAAACATACAGATAATTACAGTAGAAATGAGTAGCAGACATCTCTATTACTCAACTCCCCCAAACTGGATAATTGACGTACCCAGTACTTTTACTCATCTTTGATATAAACCTTGGTATGCTAGTGTAGGAAAAGAACGTAGGCATGATAGGTTAGTTATCAATCAGTTTGTCATGGAGACTTAAGGAGGGATGCTTTATTATGTGGCCAATTGTTTATTGGGTTGACAATTCACATCCATGTGCTTTGTCCTGTCATGGGACCCTAGCTTTGCACATGGAGCTGACATGGTCTCCATGAATAGGGGTGAAGGAGCTGACATACCCATACTACTCAATATGTTCTTCAGTCGAACTCAAACAACAGGCAGTAGAGTGGCCGTATCGCAACTCAAGTATGATCCTTTTGAAGAGAGCTTCAATCTGTTATCTCAAAGCCTGTTTTAGCTGCCATACTTCACATCTTCCTTACATAAAGGACATTCCTGAATAACAGAAACAGTGTTGAAGCAAAACTAAAGAAGACTAATAACAGCAATAGCCTTTTGATGAGCAGCATAACCCCAAACTTCACCTAGCTGGTTTTTCAGTTCGTTTAGATTTTTCACGGTAATCCTGTAGAATGAAATAGACATTCCATGATCCACATATAGACAGATGACGATGATCAGGTTGCTTTTGAGTGATACAGGGATAAGAGATATGCTGGGCTGTGCCTGATGATCCACATATAAACGCCTTGACCTGCTGTCATGGTGGCGTGTCGTTCATGCGCATTAATGTCTTGGGTTTGAAGCCCAGTTTGACTGATGCTGAACCCCCCCTTTCACTCTCTCTCTCTCTTAAAAAAGAGATATGCCAGGCTGTACTAGCAATTTTTACTCGCTTGTGTCTTATCTACCATGTGTTAGGTTCCATGTAGGCAAAAATTATGTTCTTGATTGTGGTTTGTTGATTTCACATTCAGATCTGCAATATGCGGAGATTCAGCCCTAGAAGCTTTGAAACTCCTTATACTAGGAGTTCCCCCTGCTAGGATTTTTATTCAGCTACGATGACAAATGTGACTGATTTGTGTAAAAATTCAGAAAGAATTCTCATTACTTGGGAAATTAAGTATAAGCTCTAGATTCTTCAAAAAGGAAAGTATTAGCTCTACCATGCATATAGAAGAGTACGTAGGAGAAGAGGAGCCCTTCAATGGATATGTAGGTACTATTATGGTAGAAAAACAAGTGTCAAGTAAGACAACGACCCTTCAATGAGAATACACCAGTGATTTAGAACTCAGCCGAGCAACTTGGACTTGGCTGAGATACTTGGCCTCAGGGCTGAATGCTGCACCTGTATAGTACTCAGGAGAGTACTCTACAGACTTGTGACTTGTCCAAGTGCTGTAAAACTTGGGGGAGAGCACTATTGCTGAATACGAAATTGGGAAGTCTGCCCCCCATTTTCCATTCTATATTGTGCAGGAATCCCAAAGCCCCTGTTTCTGATGTCAAATTTCACACTATGCTAGAAAAACACTAAATCTACTACATATTGGACGCATTAGATTCAGGAAAAAAACATTAGATTTCTCACATTTTGCAATCAAAGAACTGCAGATTTTTTCACCCAATTTTGGAGGAATTTGATTTTTTTTGAATCTGATTGTCATCTTAGATAAAAATCGAACCCTTTGATAAGAATATCAAGTATTTATAATTTTTGATGTTGTTTCGGGATTTTTGCTCGTTTTGTTTATTTTCTGGTGCTGTTTGTGCACTTGGACAGGACATGGGTGAGTCCAAGGACTCGCCTGAGTAACTCGGCTCAGGTCGTGAGCTGAGTTTCTGCACTGGTATGTACAAATTCATTGTAGAAATGATTAAAAGGCCACTGATTATATTGTTTACGGCCGTGTTAACATAATTATACTTACGGCCGTGTTAACATAATTATGCAGATTAATCCCTTGTAAACACTTGTGCCATCCAATACTAATTTGTGTTCTCACTTTAGCTCTTCAATTTTCTAGGACTCTCCTGTTCTTATTTTATGTAGTATTTATTGTTTACTTTCACTCTTCTCTGAGTTTAGCTTAAGTATTCAACAACCTGCATTAGAATTTAAGCAAACACAATAAGTGACATGTACAATTAGGTCCTAACTTGAACTCAAAAAATTTTCTAATGCAGGAACGTATGCAATTAGGTCCTGCGTTGAACCCCACAATTTTTTTGGATTGGTTAGTGCCCCCAATATTCCTACTCATTGTCGAGGACATTCTCCCATTAAATTCATGCATAAAGATTTCTTTTTTATATTTATTTTTTTGTTGATTATATAGGTGCTTAAATTGGGCTTTGCTTTTTTCTTTTGGGGGGGTGGGGGTATTGTTTAGCCTGGCTTTGAGCCTTGAACGTTATGGCACTTGCATCCTAAGCTCTAACCACTAAAGCCAAGATCCTCAACCCCATGAATTGGGCAATGCATATTAGCCTTATGAGTTTCGTTTACTAATCATTTGTATGTTGTGATTTGATGCAGGTAGCGGGGCAGCTCTTGAGTTGATGTTGTGGCGGCTGTAGTTTGTTTATTAATATAAATTGTACACAAAAATGGTTAGATCTCAAATTACCTTTCCCTTTTTCTTTGTTCTTTTTGTCCTTTTTCTGTCTCCTCAACCCTATGTATCATATTAACATTTATTCCATTGATAATAAAATTTTAACTTTTGATTCTGCATATTCTCCTAATAGCTGGCCCCACTGGATTGTTTGGTCGGAGATGTTTGGCGTGGCATACTACTGTGGCCTGAAACTCCATGTTGGAGATGGATTGAGTACCCAAACACCTTATGATTATTTGTGATTCCATTTCTGCCTGCAAATGAATCTGGAGTTATAAAAAGGATCTGATTTTTCTGGGAAAATTTGAAGTGGGCCATCCAGAAAAAAGACTGGAAGATGGACTTTGTTAAGGACTTCCAAATCTAGGAAGCAATCATTGGAGATGTCTCATTTCTAAGAATATCCTGGAAGTCAAATTCCAAGGACCCAAACGGATTGTAAGAGTTGGAAATATAATCTTAAGGAATTTTTTTCTTCCTGTTGAATCTTGGCGTTATTTGATAAGCACCGTAGGTGCTCTGGGTTGGTGAGCAGTTCCTACTTTGTCGACTAGGGACTGCTACATGGAAGGGTGCGTTTGACGACTAGGGACTGCTACATGGAAGGGTGCGTTTGAAGCTTGCACTCCTAAAAAAAAGAGCAGTGCAAGCCGTCATATCTCTCAAAATTTAAGGGGTATTTTTGTTTTTTTATTTTTATTATATTATTTTCATATAATTTATATATGTGCATGTGCATGTGATGTATGAAAATCTAAAAAATTTAACTCAATCCGACGTAAAAATTAAAAGGAAACTTAAATGTTCAGATATGCTTGCAACCTTCTCTTGTAGTGACCTTTAACCATTGGATCAAATCCCTCCCCATTTGGCCGGTCCGGTTCTAGTAACATTGAGACATACTACCCTCTTGGTGAATCCAAACTGGCCCTTAGTATCAAGGTCTGTTTGGATGATGTTGTGAAATATGTGCCACAAATTTTTGTCAGCTTTGCAGGCGATCTCAGGATTGGGTGTCGATGGAATCATTAAAAGACATGTTTCATAGATTTTATGAAAAACTCCATACATAAACACATGCAAACAACCACATCAGCTAGCAAGAGGTAAATGTGTTTTTGTTAATGAAAAACTCCATACATAAACACATGCAAACAACTACATCAGCTAGCAAGAGGTAAATGTGTTTTTGATATAAATAGTTTTCACTGATTACTCTCTCTTTACCAAAATTTTTGAAAATAATTCATCTCTTAGTTTATCCATGTACAAGACACCATGTATTATATGGAGGTGAGAATCATTTTAACTCATTAGATGTCAAATTGGATAGCTTGGGGTGAATCATGAAGTCCAATAACTTTTTTTTTTTATCGTTGTTTCAACTCAACCACCTATTTTGGAATTTAAGGGACAAGTGTGATTGTGACATCTACGTACAAAAGATAAATGGTTGCAATCCTTTAAAAAAAAGGGTGCGGTTCTTATAAGGTTGCAACATTAAACAATCTAATTAAGGCACACCTCCAAATTTTATCATAACATGTACGTTTGGTGTAAAAAATTCTTAGGATTATTTGAAAATCTATTTTCATATCTAAAATCTAGAAAATAGGCGGTTTAGATAATGTGTTGCATGATGCACTATTTTTGGGACTCAAAATTTTTATTTATTTTTCATATTCATACATTTCTATATCGAGGTGATCAATTAGAGGGTTTTAACATTAAAACAACCTTTTTTGATGGATTTTTGAGGTGCATCTTTATTTATTTTCATATTCATACATTTCTATGTCGAGGTGATCAACTAGTGGGTTTTTAACATTAAACAACTTTTTTCGATGGATTTTTGAAGTGCATCTTTAATTCTACATTTTAAAGTTGCAACCTTATGTAAACTTTTTCCTTAAGCAAATATACCTTATATAAACAAGCCTATCTTTTTAAAATGTTCTATCCGCGTAGCTCTATCCATCTTCTATGACATTTCTATCTGCCCTATAATGGTCGGCCCTGAACTCTCCGAGTTTCTTGGGCAATTGTTTTATCTTACATTTAAAAATATGGCCTTTTTATTCTCGCGATACATGTACATTTCTTAATCACGTCTGAACAATATAGGAAGCACCTCTTATCAATAATATATATATATATATATATATATATATAGAGAGAGAGAATAATAATGGAAAATTATTTTATGCTGGCTAGACCGCATAACTATATATGCGGTCCAAAAAGTCTAAAGCATCCATCTTATGGATGGATGCAAGTAGCTGTTATATCTAAAAACAATGAAAACTATCGGTCCAAATGTTTTTTTAATAAAATTGTTATTTTTAGTTTTTAAGATTTACTTATTTTTTCTTACTCATGATCTCCATGTTAAGGATTACATGTCCTTAAAAATTAAGTCCAAAAATCTATTTCAAAAAAGATTTATTAAGAGGCCCATATTTCTAAATATGCGGGCTTGGCCTTATAGAAACCGGGAAGCACCTCTGTTAATTATATGGTTTGTGAAACGCTTGAAGGGAACTGGGCAAACTGGATGCAAAAAGAGGCATAATTAGAGTCAATCAACATAGCAATGGAGGTCATAAATATTATCTATGGGATAGATTAAGCTACATAAATATTTTTTATGGGATAGATTAAGCTATATAAATATTATTTATGGGATAGATTAAGCTACATTTAAGAGTTGGAATACTTCCCATTGGATGAAAATAGGACCGTTTTACGAGCAGAGTTAGCAAGATGGGGGAATAACAATATATCAGTAAACCAAATTACCTGTAATGGATCGGTTTTGGTTAGAGAAAGTCAAGAGGCAAAAAATCAGGGTAAAAATACAGGTTGCTAAGATTCATGAATACTTTAAAGTTGGCTAAAAAAAAACAGAGTGAAAAAATCGGATATGCAAAGATGACGTGCCATAAAATTATGATTTGCAGCTATTGTAAAGATACATTAGTCATCAAATAGTAATTATAGGTCCCTGATATCATTTAGGTACCTTTTGGCAGATTTTTTGTTTAAATTATTTTAGTACAACAACAATGTTTCCTCTACCGTCGTGGTACAAAACAAACAACAATTTTATTAGGAACGTACAAGGAAACAATAACAACAATACTAAACATAATAATTATATTAACAAAGGAAAAATTGTAACCCAAGTTGTTGGACTGTTGTTAGGGGAAAAAAAGAAGAAGAGAACCATAGTATAGGGTTACAATTAACAAAAACATAAATCCCGTTAAATGTGAAACATGGTTAATCTAAATTGCTTTCTCGTATACATTAATAAAACAATAGTATACGTCAATGAATAAATAAAAAATTAAAAAATGGTGAAACTAATCAAACTTCTATACGTAGAGAGCAAGCAATAAACAACTAACTTGTATTGAACAATATGTGTATGCAAACGCAAACCCAAATATTAAAATGTCACCCTACTTCCATGTTGCCTAAATATTTAGTTTTAATTAAACAATTATGTTTTTTCACGTTTATAAGTGCACTTAATTTAGAGAAAAAGAAAAATTTTCCTTGGGTTATTGTTTCTGTAATTCTACCTATTATTTTGAGATATACAACTGTTTTGAGAGAATAACTTCGCCATGGCTAGCCCAAAGCCGCTCTTGTAGGACCCAAGCTCGGAGAAAGGAAGATGATTGTGCTTTGTTGGCAGCCAGTATAAACCTTTTTCCACATCTATTTATTGTGAGCTGAATGGCCGAATATGCTTCGTGTAGCCGATCACAAATAGTTGGGATAAGGCTTGGATAATGATAATGATGATGAGGAGTTGTTTTTGAAGAATATAATTTTCTACGAATACATGGGCAATGTGTTTTTTTTCTAATTCAATTTTTTAAGGGAATATGTTAGTAAAATTTTTATGAATTTTTTATTTTATCAAGATTCATTTAATCTCAATTTCAATGTAAATATCAAAATTTCAAAGATATAAATCAATGAATAAAAAAAAGTAAAATTATATGGAAGAAGTCTTTTCCAAAAGTTTTTTTTGGAAAACAGATAAGATACTTTATAAGGCTCGAAAAAACATTTGATTTTTTTAAAGATTTATTTGGAAAATTTGGAAATTTTAACGAATTTGGAAATTTTAACGAATTTGGAAAATCAGATATTAAAAAAATATATATCATGTTTTGACCGAAAACTTGCTAACTATGGGTACCCGAGACGCTTTGTAGTTTGGACTTTGGAGGTGACCCCACAAAGTGGCATCCAATGGAAACAAGATACTATGAAGATGGTTACTTTGTTGGTAGAGTACCTATTGGGACTACCTTTTAAAGTAGAAATTTAGTGTACGTCGGTTCTGGATCCAATTCAATCCCTGTCTTCTCCTATAATATTTACCTTGATTGTTAATTTATTTGAGAATATATAATGGGAAATCTAATTAGCAAAAGAAATTCATCTTTTAATAAAAGGTGAGGTTTGTATAAGGTGGGCACGTTATATTGTACAAGCAAGGTGGACCTCTAAATTTTTTCAAAATTTGTAGTTTCGATTTCGAAAATCTTACGATGACTTACAAATTCATGTCCAACCTTGATATAAAATTTCAAATTCCAAAAAAGTACCGATCGAACATATCTATAATCACTAAAAAATCTTGAAAATAGACGGATTAAATAACTTGTTACAAGGTGCATCATTTTTAGGACTTAAAATTCTATTTATCTTTTATATTTATACCTCTTGAAGTTGAAATGATCAATTGGAAGGTTTTCCAACTTTGGAACACTTTTTTCTATTGGACTTTTGATATTGCACCTTCCTTTGATAAATGCTTTATATTTATCGAAACTAAAGCGTAAATAATTTGGATGTAACCGGATATTCTCTCATAGTTTGAAGATTATTAATTTTATGTTAAATCCCTGATCTCAAATCCCAAAAATTTAATTATTTTATTTTCTAATACATGTTTTTCGTACGTGTAAGTAGGAACAATCAATTTAGCGAAAATTGATATTGGTTGAGGTTGTTCATATTTCTTTTACAAGCCACTTTAAAGGCACGTTTGTTTGGTGCGAAAATATTTCTCGAAAAGTATTTTTTTGTGAAAAAATTCCTTCTTGTAGTTAGATGTGAGAATATTTTCACAATAATTGGTCCGAGAGCATCTTTTTACATCAAAGGGGAGCTAATTAGTGTCAAAATATTTTCACACCTATCTACATATGATAATTTTTTTGCCAAAAAATATTTCCTAGGAAATACGTTCACACGAACCAAATATTTTATGAAAAATGTATTAAGAGGGAAATAAAATGGGATACACTACTTCAATAGGGCATTCATTTCCATCAGCTTTATGAGATTTCTTAAAATCTTATATAAAAACTTATTGTTATTATAAAATCCTATATAAAACCTTATTGTTATTATAAAATCCTACATAAAACCTTAGCTAGAAAAATTACGGTGACTTGTAACTTCTATTTTTTGTATTAACTTGTCATTATTATTAATAATAAATCAAGATAATCGTTTGACAACACGTACAATACTCTATTCCTTTATTTCATTGCGACTTGTAGCTTCTATTTTTTGTCCCAAATTAAGTGGCTTAAAAGTTAAATTCCAAGAGCCAATAGCTCGGATAGAAGTTTGTAGCCACTATCGTATTTTTTCTTAACCCAGGGATACTCAAGCACACACAAAAGATGAAGGTTTTTAAATGGAAAACATCCCAAAATTGGCATATGGGGCATGAAATAGTGTGCTCTACAAGACTACTATACACCCACCCTGTCTAAACTTAGAATCACATGCCCTCATCATGATAAGACTTCGGAATAGCATGCTTAGATTGTTATTTTTTTTTTAATTTTTTTTTTTTTATATTTTTGCTTGTGCTTATAAAGGCAGTCTTTACCTAACTCATCGCCATTTTGAAAATAAATTAACATTGATAGAAGTTTGATTGGTAAACTAAAATGTGTCTAAGGGATGATGTTAGGGGATTGGAGATTGAAGATACACACTAATTCAAGGGTAAGTTTTTGTTAAAATTTTTTTAGAATTCATAATTGAGTTTTCAAAAAATATATTTGATTTTTTTATTCATATGTTAACTTCATATGAATCATTGATTTATTTAGTTTTTCTATTATATAATTTTATCTCGAGAAATCATTTTGCTAGCTAAATCTAAATTAAATTCTATGGTTTTCTCTATTATATTATTTTATCTCGAGAAATCATTTTGCTAGCTAATTCTAAATTAAATTTGATGGTTTTCTCCATTATATAATTTTATCTCAAGAAATCATTTTGCTAGCTAATTCTAATTTAAATTCTATTTATGATATGAAGCGACCATTGCCCTGCAAAGATCACTTTCTAACAAACCGTTCTTGAAAATTCTCTAACAACCCCTTCCCTCCAACGCTCTTCTAACTTTGTCTATATTCAAATTACAGGCTGAGCATATATGTGAAGGTGGTTACTATGTTAGTGTAACCATTTCTAAGTTTGTAATATGTTCAGTGTGAGGGTGGTGTGGTTACTATGTTAGTGTAACCATTTCTAAGTTTGTAATATGTTCAGTGAGCTTGTTTTCTTTAACTGTTCACATATATTCAAATTATATGTACAGGGTTTTCTCTACCTGTTCACATATATTCAAATTACATGTACAGGTCGAGCGTATAGATTGTGATATGTTGTTGTAGTGGATTTTTTTTTTTCTTTCTTTTTTTTTGGGTCTGGTGGGTGTTAAAGTAATTCATCCAGGGTATCTATTTTTTGGGTCTTTTGGTAGGACCGGGTGGGTCTTCTTTTGGGTCTTGTGGTAAGATCAGGTAGGTCTTTAAGTAATTGGTTGCAGGATATCTAACTTATCGGGTAGGTCTTAAAGTAATTGATTGTAGAATATCTAATTTTTTTTTTTTCACTCTTGTGCTAGGTAATTGTTTTTGGAGGGACCAAACCATTTTGAAAGTGAATGAACATAGGTAATTATTGGAGGGTTCAGGCATGAGCTCCTCTCTTGTTTTCTGCTAAACTGATAAATGGATTGAGTGGTTTATTCATTTTTGGTCAGGCGTCAGGTATGATCACGCTAATTTATTGTGGACAACCTGTTTTTTTTTTCTTTTTCTTTACAATAGATTGAATGGTTTTGTTGGGCATGACTTTTTCCTGATAAACCAATTAAGTAATTGATGAAGGTGGTTTTGTTAGATAATGATTTTTCCGGATAAACAAATCAATTAGACGTGGATTTTTTTGGATAAACAAATCAACAACAAATTGATGAAGGTGGTTTTTTTATCAACCTTTTTTTTTCTTTGTAAACCAACCAAGGTATTAATGAAAGTTGTTTTTTTTTTTTTATTATTTTTTTTTTTGCAAACCAAAAAAATGACGATATCGGAAAATATGCCATTTAAGAAGTTTAATTATATTGATTAAAGATTGTAACTATATTGGTTAAACACCAACTAAACAAAAGCAATAAAAAAAAAAAATATGGTTAAACAACAATTAAACAAAAAGAGGAATAAATAGAAGCTGGATTTTAGAAAAAAATTATTTATAGCCAAAAATAATTTAGAAAATTGTAAAAGTGAGGAAATATGAAATAATAAATAATTCATAAATCATCAAAACTATGTAAGAATATTTTTATACATTGATTTACTAACTAAATGAATTTATTTTTATTTTGTAACTTTTCAAATTTGTAAATTACTACTTGGCTCTACAAGGTGCGAAACCCAAGCCCGAGTCAACTCGGTTGAGTTCCTAGCCATTGGCCCATCGTTTATTGTTGTGGTTAAACCCACAAATCCCAAACACATTTTCCATTTAAAAGTTCTCATCACAACAAATCCAAATTAGGCAAGTAGCCCTCCATCTTTAATTGCTTGGCCAAAGCATGCTGCACCTCACACACTTCAACAATTTGGGGATGTGATGAATCTCCCGAAACACACTCATGGAACCTTTTATCAATCTCAATTGAGCTACAACCAGGGACCTTCTCGATACCCCTTTCTCTCAGCCTCCTTCTCACCTCTGCAACTCCACCCCAATCTCCAGCATTTGCATGCACATTTGACATAATGACATAATTCCCCCCATTTTTAGGCTCTAATTCTATGAGCTTCTCCAAAGCGAACCTCGCCAGATCAGGGTCATTATGCATCCTACAAGCTCCAAGTATTATAGCTTGATCAGGCTCCACAGGCATTTTGGATATAAGCTCGTGGATCTCTCTAAGGCGACCAACTCGGCCTAAGAGGTCCACAACACACCCATAATGCTCGATTTCCGGCTCAATTCCGTAATCTCGAGCCATAGAATCAAAGAGCATCAAACCTTCTTCAACCAGGCCACCATGAACACAAGCAGATGACAACCCAACAAATGTAATGTTGTTGGGTCGAGCCCTATCCGCTGTCATACGATAAAAGAGCGCTAAGGCCTCTTTCACCTGCCCATGCATGGCAAGGCCACATATCATAGCATCCCAAGCATGTATATCTCTCACACGCATGTCGTCAAATACATGCTGCGCTCACGTGATGCATCCACATTTCGCATACATGTCCACAATTGCGGTCCCCAAAATGCAATTCAATTCGAACCCACCCTTCCGAACCAAGTCATGGACACATCTTCCAAGTTCTAGCGAACGTAGGTGCACACAGGCTAAGAGCACAGCCACCAAAGTGAATGCATCAGGCCAAACATTTTCCAACTCCATGGATCTAAACAAGCTCAATGCGTCGACCGGCATGTGCATAACCAAGAATTAATGAATTAGACTATATTCCTTTGAGGCATTTCATCAAAAATTTGCTCTGCAAAACTACGAAGCCCACATTGAGCATACATGTGCACTAATGACCTCAACACGAACCCATCAGATTCGAACCCTAGCCGAACTACATGACAATGGGCCCCACCACCGTGGCCGGATGATCAGAGGGCGGTACATGCCTTGAGAAGAAATGGGTAGGTGTAATTGTCTGGAGAAATGCCATGGGCTAGCATTTGGGTGTAGAGAGCGATGGCTTGAAGTGAGAGATTGGAGTGAGAAAGGCCTCTTATCATTGTGTTGTATGAGAATGTGTTTGGGTTGGGAATGTGGGTGAAGACAGTTTGGGCATAGTTCATGTTAGAGAGGGCCCTGGCAATGTCCAAGAGGAGATTGTTTGTAGTGAAAGAGAGGACTCCATTGATAAGGAGCTTCGCATGAATTTGCAAAAGATGGTGGATGGATTTGCAGTTCCTTAACAACTGCAAGGAAACCCAGTAAGCCTGTTTTTTATGGAAAAAAATTATATAGAGAAGAGGCTGCTTTGACGCCTAATATGATCACAATAATAGGACAAAAAAAAATAGATTTAAGTTTTGAAAATAGTGCACATCTATTAAAAGAGGTTGGTTTGATGCCTAATATCTTCAAATTGATCACAAGATATATGGATAGGACAAAGAAATAGATTTTAAATTTTGAAAATAATGCACATTTTTTAACCTTCAAGTTTTCACATCCCTGTTCGATCTTCATTATTTTTGAAGCTTCAAACCTTATAATTTTTGAAGCTACCACTAAGATTGCTGTTGCATTGAAATTAGTTGGCCGTTATAATGAGAAAACCACTCATTATCACGTTATATAATTGTAACCAGGTGTAAGGGGCAGTTATTTGGTTCTCTTTTGTTTTTCGTGCAGCCGTTATGTAACGTCAACGTCTTAATGTTCTTTATCTCTGTTTCCATTTTAATAACAAATTAATTTTGGGGTGTGGTTTCTGTAAGGCTGAGGCTCTAAACAATCAAAGTAAGGCACACTTTCAAATAATGTTAAAAGATGTTTTAGTGTCATAAATCTTTGTAATGGGCCTGAACATTTATTTTCAAATTTAATTATAAAATTTAAAGCTTAAAAAATAGTGTAGATTGAGCATATCAATGAACACTTGAAAATATTGCAAATTGACATGCTAAAAAATCCATTACATTATGCATTATTTTCAAGATTTAAAATCCATTTTTTCTCATGTCCATTTTTTAGTATCAAAACAACCTTTTCTAATGAATTTTTGAGGTGTCCCTTAATTTGATTGTTTAAGACCTCACTCTTATATGAACTTTTTTTCTTAATTTAAAGAAGGTAACGACTTAAATGGTCAATATTATCGGTGACAAAAATAATGATTGGAGTGTAATTTTGGAAAGAACGCTACTTTAAAAAAAGAAGAAAATGTTATACCCTTTTAAAGTCTATTGGTTCACCTTAGATTTCTCTTCATTCAATGTGTTTTTTTTTTTTTTACCATTTCTTATGTTTCTGACTAAATCCACAACTAAATCCGCACTAATTACACAATAATCCGTTAACTTTGGGTTAAGGAGATTACATTTACTTTTAGCAGTCTGAACAGTATGTGGGGTGGGCTATTTACCACATACGTAATTGAAAAAGAATTTTTTTTGAACTTTATGACATCTCTTTTTCTTTTTAATATTAACTTGAATGCATTAATGTGCTGATGGATTTCACATGAGACGATTAGAACTAATTGTTATCTTCTTGTACAAGGTCAAGCATATGCTCCTTTTTGTTTTGATCTTCATTACCAATACAAAAATGAGAATGAAGGAACTATGTTCCATTCCATCACATTCACATTTTCTAAACCTTGCTGAGGCTTGAGTGGCCAGATTGGGTGGATAAAGTTGGCTTCAATCATGTTTTGCAGGACTTAGACTTGCCATGCTAAGCCCAATATGCCTGACCCAAAAAATATTAGCACACTCAGATGCGAATGCGTGCGCACACACACACACATACGAAGATTCCTTGCCGCCGGGAGCACATTTTCCATTAGCTAATTTGAGAAAAACCCAGCCTAGTGGTACTTTTAGGAACCCAAAATTTCAAGAAGTATACTCCTCGACCAAGTGACCGGACTAAAAATAAAAATAAAATAAAATAGAAATAGAAATCGACGTATTGTTGAGATTATTGGAATTGAGTTGTTGTGGTCGTTGAAAGGACTAGAAAAGCTGAACATTCTATGTCCCTAAAGTGATTTCCCTCCATAGTTGCAGATGAATATGTTCAGCAGGGCCGTCCATTCCCCCTGTTGATCATCAAAAATGAATCGTGGGTAAAGTTTATTGAAAAAAGTAGCATTCTAAAATTGAATATAGAACATTTAATTTTGGCAACATGATCGATTTTTTTTAAAAAATAATCATCTATAAATTCTCAAGTGGAATCGAAAATTTAAAATTGAAAAAAATCTTTCTAAGTAGCTTTTTTACCTAAGGGAGAAAGTGGACAATATGCTTATGCAAGAATAGAGTATACACAACACCAACAAACATACTAGAAGAAGGCCCAAACTGAACCATTGGATGAGGGACATTAATCGAAAAGCGCAAGGGTATTTTGGTCGTTATTCTTTAAAAAATTTATATTTTTCTTTTTTGTGGTGCACCAAGGATAAGCGCATTGCTCCCTAAAATTTAAGTGAAAAGGATTTACGGAAAAGAAAATCAAAACTAAAATAGCTCACATATACCTCTGGTGTTTCTAGAAATTGAATCTGAACCGTAGAGCTTGTAAATTACAAGGTTTAAAAAAAAAATTTCGTACAAAAATAAGGATTCTAATTTACCTTGATGCTCTAATTGTAAGAAGATGTGTTATGTTGAAAAAGATTGTTGGTACAAATCTACAGACCGGGCAAACTTTCATGAGGTATAATGATGAATAAGTTAATGAAGAAAAATCGTCTTTTTAATGTCTTAATGACAATGTTAACCTTGCCAAAAACATTTTTGGTATCCCGATAGTGGTTGTAGTAATCATATGACGAGTGATAAAATGTTGTTAGGTTAATCAATGAATCTATAAGATCTTGATCAACACTAGAGATGATAATCAAGTTCAAGTACGAGGCAAGGGAATTGTTACCGTCAACACCAAGATCCGTAAAAAATTCACTCATGGAGTTATGTATGTGCAAGGTTTAGCCCAAAATCTGATAAGCATAGGGCACTTGCAGAAAAGACGGCATTATTCATTTTTTTATGATAATAGATGCATGATATATATAACAGGAACATTCTAAGAGTTACATTGTGTGAAGATGACTGCAATTAAATCATCTTAAATATTCAGAGCTAACTTTCAATGCATTTATTGTTGAGTCATATGATGAATTTTGTTTATGGTGTCACTTGAATTTTGGTGTTTTAGATTTATTGCATAGAAATATAATGAACCTATGGTGCATAATGGTAAATAAGATATATGAATCATGTGTGTAAGGAAAGCAACATCAATCCCATTTCAAGTGGGTAAGTCTTGGAGGGCAAATGAGCCCTTGATGCTTATGTATGGACATATATGAGTTCTTATGTGGAAGTCGATTCTTTTTCATAGTTGTTGATGGCTAAGAATGACAGGTTTGCTTCCTCAAGGAAAATTTGAAGCTCTTCCAGTTTTTTCAACAATTCAAAACCCAAGTTGAGAATCGTCTCTCAAAATATTACTTAACTGACCAAGGAGGTGAATTCACATCAAAGGAATTTTCTATGCTTTACAAAAATACAGAATTTTATAGAGAACTTACATGTAGCTTTACTCCAAGACAAAATGGAGTCGTATAGAATAAGAGTCGGATAATTTTTTAGGCTACGAGGTGCATGTTCAAGGAAAAAAGACTTCTAAAGATTATACTGGTTTATAGACTAATCCAATTTCCTCTAGAATCAGTCAAAAGGAAAACTCCATATGAAGCTTGGTATGGAAGAAAACTGAAAGTAAGTCATCTTAAAGTCATTTGGTTCTATGGCCTATGCTCATATTCCTCCTGAAAAAAAGGTAAAAATTAGATTCTAAGAGTACAAAATGAGTTTTTTTATCTTTAGTGAGAATGATGCCTGAAATTGGGAAAGTGGTGTAGAAAAATATCCTGGAGTTGTATAAGAGGAAGAAAAAGATCCAAGTGCACTGGAAATCCAATCTATATCTCAAATAGAATTTTCAGAGTCATCTCCAAGGAATTAAGAATTCTTGCTCATATTTCTCAATCATGTAAATTTGCCTATTTTGTTGCCCTAGAATTTACTTGTTTTGAAGATGCAGTGAGTTGATGCTATGAAAGAGGAAATGAGTTGAACAAAAGATGGAAATTAGTGAACTCCACCAGGCAGCAGGAGCTATTGGACTAAAGTGGATTTAAAAATCCAAATCCAATTCTAATGGATCTCTATAAAGGCAAAAAGTCATGTTGGTTGCCAAAGGGTATGCACAAATCCCATGTATTTCTCAACCTTTTTTTACCTGTTTCTAGGAATGCACCATCAAAATAGTTTTAGCATTTGTCTACTAAAAAAGGATGGGAGGTCTTCCAATATATTTAAAGCATTCTCTTAAACAAAATACATCCAAATGAAGTTGAAAAGTAGTTAAAAAAATGGATTTTTAAAAAATTGATTTTTAAAAAATTTACTTTTGCCCAGCCATATTTT